CGGGCCCGAACCCGCCCTGCACGAACTCCCTGCCGACGCGCGTTGGCAGGCGACCCCCGCCAGCAGCCGCCTTCCAATGCGTGCTGGCTGAAGCTGGGGCGCCGTGCACAGGGACCCTCATGGATGCTGCAGGCGGAAAAAGATTCCAAAAAAAAACAAAAACAACGCAATGTTGCGCAAAATGTCACGGGTGTAATGCACATTCCGATGTGTGCTTGACAAAGTGCGGACGGTAAGGGGCATCATTCAGAGCATGTCCAAGTGTGAGCCGAGCGCCCATTTGCACATGTGTGATGCCCGCCTCGCGCAGGACGCCAAGTACACTCTTGCATTCACAGGGCATGATTTGCGGCCATACACAACAGGGTGAAGATAAGGGTTTGGCTGCCGGCTCAAACATGAAAAACTTGTGTTTGCCGGAGCTCAACCACCGTGTGACCCATGGCTGTGGGCATCAAGCATGAGTTCCCCATTCAAAAGGATACTGCGCACCAGCAGCTGACAATGCAATGTGAGGTGACAACAGCCAGGAATGCGCGGCGGCCGCTTCGGCGCTGAGATGCCAGCCTTCTCATTGTTGGACGTGCCGCCGGCATTGTTCTTTGAATTACCCCTGAACGAGTATAGGGCGATGGCATGACTTGGGCCAGTAAATCTGAAAAAACAATTGATTCATGATGGAGGAGGCCATTTCCATGTTCCGGCGTGGAAAACGTTAGTTTCCTTCAGGTTGATTGTGGTCCATACAGCCATACGCCGTGTGGAGAGTCGAGTCCTGAAACGACCATGGGTCATGGTCAGAAGAGTAAAACATTCAACATGACATACAAACAAAAAAACATACAGCGAACAAGTATGTACAGCTACATCATGTCGATGCTCTCAGGAAATGCTCATATTTCGCACGCCTCAGCGGCTTGGCAAACGTGTGCAACGTACGAGATGTTGCGGGCGATGCCACGAGCAGTGCTAATGTACACGTTTGTGCCAAACAGCTGCAGCATTGATAGCGGGCATGTGCCACTGGTGTGCTGCAACCAGCGTTGACGTGCACTGTGATGTGTTGTGCAAGACAACAGGGTGTGTTCAAGTGAATCGCTGCCACTGGCACACAAGCGGCGTGGCGGCAGGGAAGTTATATTGCCGTGACGGGCAGAACGTCCGTCCGAGAAAGGATGATGCCCACATCGTGCGGGGCCCCAGTAACGAGCATGAAATGGGCGTGTTTGCTGACCGTAAACAAGGGGGTGCAGATGCGGCTGTGGCTGCCATCGGGAATATTGTGCCAGGGAACTCATGCACTGTGCATTGTACCGCATATCGGATCTCGTGCTGATGTTGCACTTGGCGTGCAACAACCAACTACGTGGGCCTTGCCGAGAAGTGTGGGGACCTAGGCCATAGGACGACGAATGGGCCACGCCTAACTCTGAACACGGCTGGGCTTGGATAGAGTGAGCCCATGAATTTTATTGCAAACCGGCACAGTACACTATGCGGCTGGCACAGCAGCTGAAGGGTAGGATCGCCGAGCCCATCGACTGAACCGGGTTTGGAACCTCCGAAATAACGAAATTGAGGCAACAAATTCTAACCAAGACATACCAAAGGGCGAACATAACATTGAAAAATCCGTTCAACAAAGGTCAACAGCAAATTTGCGGAAGCTGTCCAAGAGAGACAAGCGGCAATCTTGCGTTCGCCACGACGCAACAACTCATCGACATGTCCTGAAAATGATAATCATTCACGCAAAGTTACCCCTAAATATGTGTAACTTCTTACGTGGGGTAGGGCATGTTCACCAACATGGAATGGAGGCACGTTTGCGCGCCCGCGACCAAAAATCATCACAGCTGATTTGTTCGGTCCGGCGCTGAAATGAAAACGCCATGCGTTAGCCCAGGCGGCTGCTGCATCCAACGGGCGTTGCACTTCTGCGGTTGTTTCTCAAGGGATAACCACATCATCTGCATACCACAGCGCTTGTGCACGTGGGGCATCAAGTTCCGGACCACATGCTACGCCTACGCATGCGTGCTTGATTGCGGCGGCAAATCCATTTATTAACAAGTCAAAAAGGAAACCCGAAAGAACGGCCTTTTGCCTGACTCCGGCCGCAACATCCCAGGATTTGGAGAAACGGTTATCAATGCGGACTGCTGCTGTGCGGTCCGAAACGAAATCGTTGACCAAATGCCATAGGCCAGCAGAGAGTCCCGCTCGATGCAGTTTCAGCAGCGCGCCTTCACGCCACACGACATCGAAGGCTTTCCGGATGTCGAGGAACGCACAAAACGTTCGAGAATTTTGTCTCAATTTAATCGTTTCGAGTAATGCATAAACGTGAACATCACGACCATACCTGAACCCAGCTTGACAATCATCAAGTTGTGGGTCGGCCACGGGTTTAATGCAATTCACAAGCATTCTTTCCAGCGTTTTGGCAAAACATGATGTCAAAGTGATGGGTCGATATTCATTCCGATGTGTGGCATCAGGTGTTTTTGCCAGTGGAAAAACAATTCCATGCTCTCACATGGACGGGATGCAACAGTAGCGGCAGCACAACTCCAAAAAGTGAAGGATCGCATTGTGCCACCAGGGGATGTTGGTGGATAGCGCTTTATAAGGGATTTTATCACAACCAGGTGCTCTGTCTAAAGCGCAATGCCACAGTGCTATGTGGAACTCAGGCAACGTGAAAGCACCCTCGGCGTGATCAACATGGGGGGACTGCCCCTCACGGGAGGCCTGCAATCGCTGCACATGACGACGCGCACGCGTGAAATGAGGCTGGTTGAAGCATCACGAAAATGTACATGCCATTAGTTCACGCAATTGGTTTGTTCATCGGTCGTGTCGTGTGCGTTGGGCAACAAGCGCGGTGCAACGCGGCAAATGTTGCGCCGAAACCGGCGTCGCACGATGCGGGCAGCGGTGCAAGGGGAAACCTGCTGCAGCTGCTCCACACGCCGCAACCATGCGGTCCAATACATTGCTGTTTTGCATGGCGGAAAACACGATGGAAATGATTCCGAGCCGCACGA